AACAACTCACCGAGTGGTCCGTATACCACGTGTTTTGGCAAGCTTTCTTCAAGTAAAAGAACCCTTGCAACAACTCTCTGAGTTGTCCGTGTACACGTGTTTTTGCAAGCTTTCTGTACGTAAAAGAACCCTTGCAACAACTCACCGAGTGGTCCGTATACACGTGATTTTGCAAGCTTCCTGTCCCTATTCAATTGCAACATTACTCCTTTCAAGTGACCGCCTAAATGTCTGGCATTTCATCCAGTCCAGTCTTCTCTGTGAAAAACCTTTCTATAGTATTTATTATTATTTTGTTTTCGTCCTGAATATGCATGAAATATTTGCCACTGGACTTTAATCAAACAACAATCAATCAATTGATTCACACTGTTTGTTTCTTACTAGTCAGATAATAAACTGGACATTGAATACATCAAATATACATGAATTTACCTTTATGTAAACGTAAATTCAGTCCGAGAACTCGTACCCGTTCCACCGATATTGCATCTGTTAAAATTGGTCGTGTCTTTTTTTAATTATATATTTAAAGTACTGAATTTCTTCTACTGAGAAACTTTTCAAATTTTTAAGAGGTGTTGTATCATTAAACATTATTTAGACAATGTGCAAAGTTAGTCGTTAAAAACTAATAAAACACATTTAAATAAATGCGAAATAGACGATCGTTTAGAATATATAAATCAATAAATGACTTTTTCTAAATCTAGATTCTTCACGCATATTGGGTGAATTTCAAGTAGGATATAAGAGCCACTGAGAAAGAACGAAAAACACGAATGCTTTATTGTGTTGTTTAATCTAGGTACGTGACGAATTGTTCTGGTTACACGTGACGAATAGTTCTGCAACAGCATGAAATTTTGTTTGCTTCATTTTGATTTGAAAAAAGTTAAACAGGTTAAGACAATGGTTTGATGGGGTTCGCGTTTCTCAGTCTTTAGTCTTTGAATGTAGTGTATTAAATATAAAAAGAAGATGTGGTATGATTGCCAATGAGACAACTATCCACAAGAGACCAAATGACACAGAAATTAACAACTATAGGTCACCGTACGGCCTTCAACAATGAGCAAAGCCCATACCGCATAGTCAGCTATAAAAGGCCCCGAAATAACAAATGTAAAACAATTCAAACGAGAAAACTAAATGCCTAATTTATGTACAAAATAATAAACGAAAAACAAATATGTTACACAGCAACAAACGACAACCACTGAATTACAGGCTCCTTACTTGGGACAGGCACATACAGAATGTTGCGGGGTAATACTGGTTTGAAGCCCCCCCCGCCCTTAACCTGGGACTTAATTATAGACAGTATTTTGTTCTTTCTTTATTTATCGTTTTACTCATGGTTTTGTATGTCTTTCTTCGACTTGCGAGATTTGATTGTACATCTGGTATCTTCCGCCTCTTTTTAACGTATATTGTCGAAATTGTTACCTAGCAAGAAACCACAAAAGAAGTAAATTAGTTACGTAATCTAAATTCATGATATTCACACACACAAATAATTTAATTCCCCTTAAGATATCGTGTTTTCGTACATATTCATCCTCCTTTAAAAAACTATTTAAATATACATTTATTTACGAAACGGGTTTCAAACCTAGGACTACAATGTTTAAAAGGTAGGTTGTGATTTTCTCATCAAATGATGTCTATCAAATTAACAGGAGAAGGTAATCTAAAAGAACAAAAAGTACATATATTGAATCTGTTATCCGCTTTGATGAGAACCTATATCATGATGACATAGATCTACACCTCGCCACGTATTTAAATGTACTAAATAGCCATTTAACAGTGCCATTTAAGCGAGTGTCATTATAATCCTCTAATTCATTGCTATTAGCATAATTTTCAGCTTATTAATCAAAATTACCATACAGCGGACGTATTTTAAATGTATTTATACAGAAATATATCGAATACAACGAAAATCACACAACTACGACAGATGAGATATTTTACCAACTTGGTTGGAATACAATGTATACTCTCTTCTTTTACTTGAGAAAAATTCACCTATATATTATGCGGGAACTTGGTCCCGTCTTTGTAATCTGTGTTGTAGTCTTTCTTTCATGATTTTATCAATTCTTTTTGCGGGGAACTGCTCATATTGATGTTACATTATTTGGGAACTAGCTTGGACTCGGCATGACAACGGGACCTTAAAAGACAATCCAGTCTGCTAACTACATTTTTATTCTGGTTCACAGTCTAATCTTATTTACAACAGTTACAATACAAATTACATTTCTTTTCCCAACATAGTTATACACCAAATATTCCGCGATCTAAATCGAACAATAATACAAAACCCGACAATAGTATATACGCGCCATAAATGAACAGTCAAGTCATTTGTTATCTCCACTTAACTCGTTTACTTTTAATATTTAATCAAGTATCAAAATAAGAATTGTATTTTCAAAAGTTATCTTTACAAAGAAGTTTAATATCCTTTTTATAAGTTAAGAACCTTTTATTTAAATCATTTACCTTAATATTATTTTTAACTTTGCCTATAATTTATTTAATCTATATCACGATTTTACTTGCGAATATGAATAAAATTTACTTTACTGGAAAACATCTTTTAAATCTTTAAACTCATTTCTTCTAAATTTATAAAAGCAATCTATCAAACAACAGTAAAATATTTACTAACCTTAAAAGACAATCCAGTCTGCTAACTACATTTTTATTCTGGTTCACAGTCTAATGAACCAAATAATTTTGCACGACTTTATATAGCAGAACTGGACTTCATCTGACACGTGAATATTTTGTTACTCAGTACAATAGTTTTCTTTGATCTATTCTAAATAAACAATGAAATATCGGATAAGGGTAGAATTACTTAATCTTAATTGTTCAAGTCTATTAATTTCAAAAGTATGTATAATTATCTTTATGCCTTCTAAGCTGACACATTTATCAATTAGCCGGGGAATATGTTTGAGACAACGTTATTAAATATGTTTTAAAAGATAAAACACTTACATGATAATTTTAGGAAATTGTTCTATACACAAATTAAACTTTCTTAAACTTGTTTTATTTGTTTTATTTACGTTCATTTCTTGGTTTACTTATTTTGTAATAAATATTCTCCTTAACTTCTGTGCATTTTTCCATTATTTAACAAAACTTTACTTGTAATTTATTAGTAAATACTATCTTTAAATATCACGCATTTTTGCATCATTATATATATAGTTATAAGATTCTATATGTACGTACAGTCTAAAAGTGTACATTTTGCCCACGTTTCTTTGGAAGAAATGTGACTGCCATATGTTCAAGCGATTTTCAACCAAAAAAATGTTTACATTTTAAACACCAGAAACAGAACTTATTTAAAGAATTATAAACAATCAGTCAGAAAATATAACCAAAAGTTCTTGTCATAGAAATTCGATGAAAAATCCCGATCCCTTTGAATTACAAATCATTCGAGTATATATTATGCGTAACATTTCAAAGTGTTATTGTCAGTCTCATTGGCAATTTTCGTATAGCTCTGAAATAAGCACTGCTATTAAATGTAATCAATAACTATTAAGCAAAGATTCTATCAGGGGAAATTGTATTCAAATAATTTTGCTCCAGCATTACAAATGTCAAATTATACCGAACGGGCAATCAGGGACCAACATTAACTATGTGTGTAATAATTTACACCGGAAGTAAAGCCACCAACAATCAATCAGTTTTTGTCACAAATTTGATAAATTACTACGCACTTCAACTTACTTCTCATTCAAGATATTCTCTGTGCACATTTATACATCACATAAGCAACAAAATACCAACATTTTATTTTGCGCATATTTAGAACCGTCTTTGAAAATCTCGAGAACTAGTACAAATGTAGTCTTTAAAAGGTTTGTCAGTTCGGTGGTATATGTATATTAATGAAATTTCAACAAAATAGGTTGGAATCGCATTCCATTTTATTTTTTTGTCACAGTATGTACTTCAAATCGTGTTTTTACGGCAATGCTTAAAAAGTTTGATTGAGCTAATATTTCATGCCCGTTTGTCATACAGGACAATGGACAAAGTTTAAAAAAACAGTCACACACACAAAATTGAGTCAAATTCCAGTGACGTTATTTAATGTCGGTATCTATTGTGACCACCATGTGCGGCTAACACTTTTCTACATCTCCTTAGCATCGATCGAATCAACTTTTTGATTATTCGTACTTGTGATATCCTTTGACATTCATATTGCAATTTTGACCGAGTTGGTCTAATGATTGACTTGGGGGTTAGCGTTGACGGACGCGTCTATCAAGTTCGACCCATAGATGTTCTATGAGGTTCAATTCTGGTCATGGCAATACAATATTTGATGTTGTTCTGTGTAAGGAAATAATGTATATTATATACGTGGGTATCTTTGCTGTATTGGGCCGAGCTTTGGCCTGCTGAAAAATCTCCCTCTGACATTGAACCAGTTTTATACGCGATAGTTTCACGGTGATTTAATAACAAGTTTCTTGTGGAATACACAAACAATTTGTCTTGCACACTATAACCGCAACCTTCATTTTTCAGGTCTTATATAAAAATACACTTGCGGCGAGTTTCGAAAATACTCGTACCGGCATTTTGTATTTTAAATACTAGTACACTTTTAATTACTCGCTTACATATTTAGATATTTAATACCATTTTTATTTATTCATTTTCAAATACAAGTATATTTAAAAAATCTGACATGTTTGTTTCCTTTTTAGCAGAGCATATTTTTGATTAGTTACACGTGCATTTTTGTTAAAGTTTAATATAGGTATGTTTAAACAAAGACAAAGTAAAAAAGCAATCTTTTTTTCATTTTAAATAGTATGTTATTTGAATATTCGCCCATCGATACAGACTGTAATATAGCTTCAACTTAAGAGAAGAATGGTCATTTAAATATTAAATTTGCAACCGCATACTTTTAGGTAATAATGTAAAAAAATTGTACTTACTAAACACAACAGAGTCGTTCCTTTTTCCTGTTCTCTTCGATGCAATATAAAAATTCGATTCAATCAACTGATTCTATTGTACATTGACATACACACACACAAAGAAACTTCTGCTAATGTGATTAAACAAGTAATGGGGTGATCGTCATCTTCCAGTCAGCTGCTTAATTTGCATGATGATTCATCCCGCACGCGCATATTTTCAGTCTCATAGTTTTTCTCGCTTAGCCGTGAAAAACGTCTGAAAAACTGTGGAATAGCATATCATATATTGTGCTTTGTATTTCTTAATAATAATTGCTAAATGGAGATGTTCAAATAAATGTTTTCACAGTTAATTAATATTATCAGTGATAACAATAATTACTGCTGAATGGTAGCGATGGGACATTGATGAATATGTCTGTATCGATCAGAGAGGAGAAAAACGCTTTTTCATTCATTATAATTGATTCTATGGTAATGAACAAGACTAATACAGTTAATGATACATGGTTACAAAATATTTAAACGAGATAGAAGGAAAATTATATCATGGAAAAACTGAAAGATATATTTATATAGAGATTGAAAAATAAGAATAAATTAATTCTAATTATCGTGTAAGTAAATACTAGTGCTGTAGCTTGTTGCAAATATAAATCATAAACAAACACAAAAATTGATTTGAACGTATAAAAGCAAACATAAATTAAGAGTTTTCTGTCCTTCGTTCGACTTCCAATAACCTGTTATTTTAATTTGTTGTAGATTTGAGGGATTTAGTATATGACTATAACTGAATGGTACCAGTGAAAATGTTTGATTCGAAACATTGATTTGTATTTGAAGTTGTAAGTCAGCTTTACGGAATGAAGCATTGCAAATTCAAACAGTAAAAGCATAATAATTGTCCGATTTACGGAAAGATGAATAAAATAATCAACATTACAAATTTCTACAATGCGCTTGTTTTGCTCCCGGAATCCGGAAAGAAAAAAGCCATTTTAATTATCAGTCATCTGAGTCAGTCATCAATAAAAGGGATTACCATTTGATTTGCTGGGGTGCAGGATTTTGAAAATGAATATCCTGGCCTGGTAAGAGATGAAAATAAATGATTTTGCCAAAGACAGGATGAAAACCTTCAGTCTGCAACACAAAAAGCAGGAATAAAAATCCTTCTCCCCCATCCTGGAACACCAAAAGGAAAACTTTGTTGACTTTATAAAAGATTTTGTACTGCATCATCCTAGAAATATGTGGAAAGATTTATTCTCAATTTGTTTTCTATTAACATTTACTGCAGATTTTGAAATTTATAAGGGAAAAGAAAGCATGTGATGTAGCACATTTTCAATTCCACATTGAAAGAGTCATTCTTTTAAGACAAAAACAAAAAATATTTGCCCGCATTTACTAACTTGAAGAAGAGACAAACAAACAAAAGTCTTTATAATTGATGGTACATATTGTTTGCCTCTAGACGATTAGCGAGTCAATTGATATGAAACTCCTTAAGACAAGGGAAAGTATAATGTTTTATTCCATTACCTATTCTTTTTAACTTCCTGAAAACACACGAGTATGAGATGTATCGAAGGAGATGGGAGATATTTCAATGGGGTATCAATCTAACAACACAATAAAACGAAAGAAAACATAGAAAACATCCCAAACTACAGATTGGAAAATAAAAGTTACAAGGAGGCAAATATCCCTACCATTTTACTTATTTCCATTCAATCAAAATGTAATGCCGCGCTGAATGTTGTTAAGGATTTTTTAAATGTTGTTGTTAAGGTTTCTTTATAGAAATCGCAAATTTTCATGTTTTGAAAAGATTTACTTCCGACTAAATTGCGGTTTGGGGCTTCCGACGTTTATTTAAGTAAAGATTGAGTTGAAAGGCTTTTTTTAAATGACCCTGGTCTGAAACAAATTCAGAGAAAGTTGACCATAAACGTCTTTCAGCTAATATTAACTTGCTGTAAAACAGTAGTTCGGTCTCATTTATTATATCAATTAATTTTATATTTTGTAAAAGCCAAAATAAAAATTAAGAAATGCATAAATTTAAGACAATAAGACATATCTGATTTATTCCATAGGTCCTTGGGGACAGGGCACAATTTTTTAGCCCTCCTCCTTTTTTCTAAAAACCGTAATTTTTTTGTATATCTTATTGTATTATCAATATAGATCAATATATATTATCAGTGACCGCTGTGGATAGTAAACTAGGAATTGATAGAACATAGTAAATACATGTCATTTCTACTATATTTGTGTTATCGTAGCACAGAATAAACGCGAAAGTTATTGAAAATAAAAGAAAAACCAAAAAAGAAAAAAAGAAACCGGATATTAGGAAAAAAAAGGGGGGGGGGGGGGGGGTAAAAAATGTCCTGTTCCCAAGTACCTATGGTTTCAACGGGTCGAATGAAGATTATTTTTAATTTGTGGCTTATACCTGCAAACGTTTTCTTTTTAAATGCAAAAGAAGTAAATTAAAAACATGTGGGAATGTCAATTCTTCTAGTAAGAGATAAAAAGATAATAAGTAGATACCGTGGGAGCAATCAAAACTTATTAGAAATTTACTGGCAGTTTTGTTGACCTATATAGCAAACATTTATTTTAAGGAATTATGTCTTTTAAACTGTCACAGACATTTATAACTTAGTTTGAATTATGAGACAAACACATTTTCTCAAATCATTTTTCAAAATCTCTTTTATGCATATCAAGCGGCCAAAAAAGTGCTTTTCCCCCCTTTAATTGCGATTTCTCTTTCGTGATCCGTTCCAAATAATTTTGTTTAAAATTATTTGTTATTGCTTTGAACATTCTGTTTTAATGATGTAAAATATTTGTTCTCGCCCTAAATGTGCATGAAATAATTTAGCATAGGCGTTTTAAATACGACTATAATAAACCTATTTTAATGTACGACAGTGTAATTATACAGGTATATTCAAAACTAGCTCTGCATCATTCCAGAAAGAAAATGAATATTCACTACAGGACATTTATATCAATGATTTTTATACGCCCGTTTACGGGACGTATTATGGTATACCGTTGTCCGTCTGTCCGTCCGTCCGTCGGACAATAACTCAAAAACGCTTTAACCAATTTGCACGAAACTTTGGTGAGTTGTTTATATCTATTGACGTGAGCTCCCTTTTGATTTTTATAAATTTTGGATTTCACGTTTCCGAGTTATGGGGTTTTATTAATTAAAAAGGGGTATTTTCCAGTTTTCGGACAATAACTCAAAAACAATTTGAGCAGTTTTCATGAAACTTTGGTGAATTGTTCACATCTATTGACGTGACCTCCCTTTCGATTTTTATAAATTTTAGATTCTACGTTTCCGAGATATGGGGTTTTATTAATTAAAAAAGGGGTATTTTCCAGTTTTCGGACAATAACTCAAAAACACTTTGAGCAGTTTTCATGAAACTTTGGTGAATTGTTCACATCCATTGACGTGATCTCCCTTTCGATTTTTATAAATTTTAGATCCTACGTTTCCGAGATATGGGGTTTTATTCATTAAAAAAGAGGGATTTTTTCCAGATTACGGACAATAACTCAAAAGTGCTTTGAGCAGTTTTCATAAAACTTTGGTGACTGGTTTATATCTATTAAAATAACCTACCTTTAGTTTTTTTTTATAAATTTCTGATATGACATTGGGGAGTTATGGAACTTTATTCTTTGAAAAAAGCAACGGGCGTATCATGCGCTCATGACGCAGCTCTTTATCTTTATTTAAATCTAATTCTACATATATGAAGTATATTTTATGTGTAAATAAAAAGTCCTCTTACTTAGGTGTGCTAGGAGAACATGGTATATTTCCCAGGGGCGTAGCTGGACTTAATTTGAAGTGCAATCATAACTATCGCCAGCGGAGCGAGGCGAAAATTTTTTTTGGACCATTTTATGCAGAAAATGATAACTTTTTTCGGGCATTTTCCAGGTATGCCATCATATAAAATTCCTTCACGCCCAAACTCCTATTTTGTGAATACTTGTGGACTTTATAGTGATTCTGCAAGGGAGGAGACTATGGACCGCTCAAAGTCCCCAGCTGGTCCAAGGTAGCACCCTAGTCGGGGATCCATGCAGGGTAGCATCGTAGACGGTGGTCCAGGGAAGCGAATCCCCATGAAGCTCCGGGCATATGAGTAATTACAGTGACTGCATTGAACATGAAAAATACCCTATCTGTTTCTTACTACTAGTATATCATATTTGCATGAAACGATAGTAAAAGTCAGGGAGTTCCGTAATTTGCTGCTTATATTATTAACATGGTTATTTTCAAATATAAAATAAATTTTATAAAACGGGATGATCAGGAAGAGTAGACAACCGAAGCGTTAAAAGCCAATGGACAATTGACAAACCCGGGAACAGATAAGACACAAAAGGAGAAACAAAAGCATTCAACATTGAAAACTAAATACAGATGAAAAACACGGACCCAGAAAATAATGTGGCGACCTCCGGTGCTCCGGAAGGGTAAGCAGTTCCTGCTTCTTGCAAGACACCCCGTAGTGTTTCTCACGAAGGTCATTCTCAAATCAAAGGAGAGGTTTCTACGACAACAGTAGAAGGTCATTTGGGACACAGATACCCCAGGTGACCGTCTTTTGGACGAACGGACAATGGGAATACGAAATCTAACGGCCACTTTTAAGTCTTGACTTATAAGTAAGGGATATAAATCTAAGATGTTTTCAAGGTAATTGTATTGAGCCTGTATCATTAAATGTTAATACTGAATAAAGTATAGTTAATATCGAAAGTCCATATATTTATTTTTTTGCCAAGGCAAATTATCGCAGAACTCTCTCGGTGTTGATATCCATTTCTTTGTGAACATGTATGAGCGCCAACGAAGATAGTCTGTCCTGTATCATGGTTGAACGGAGATACGTTTTCGGTCGCCGTAATGCACTAAATGACCGTTCAGTAGTTGATGTGGTTACTGGCATTGTAACTAGAATTGAGAAGATTGCGAATATTGAAGGATATAGTTCCTTATTAGTCACTGCTAGAGACGACATTAGAGATTTTGGCTTTAAACACCGCCCGACACGATAATCTGTAAAGACTAAAGACTATCCGTAATTCAATTTCAGAATATTTTTTTTGTGAAAAAAATGTGCAAGCAAATGATTTTTTGCGTAAAGGCAGCTACGCGCCTGTTTCCGTTATATTTTTCAGTTGTATTAATATGATATATTATCAATGGTGAATTGGTTTAGAATAAAAAATATGGAACATGGTAAACTGTATAATACCTATATGTGTAACAAATAAAAAACATGTTTTCAGATGATATTGAATTCGTCCATACATTATATTTTTTAAAAGCTGAGTATTCAAAATTCAGATG